TTTTCCTTATAAAAAATACATGTTTAAGGTCAAAACAAGAAACAAGATCAGACAATTTTTGACACAGAAAGAATATTAAAAAAAACTGGTAATATCACAAAAACCTTAAGATGGCAATTATCAAGCAATCTAGCAAAATTTCTGAAAAAAAGATCTTTATGAAGATTTTCAGCATCCACCTGAAGTTAGTGTATTATTAAACGATCCAAATATAGTTTTTTATTTTCTCTATAGTGAAGTCCAGGCATGTTGTTCAAAGTCGGTAAACAAGATTTCATATTCTAGTTAAGCAAGGACATCAGCTCTATTATTTCTCCGATGTCCCTTATGAACTGGTACCCATATAATGTTTCTGTCAGGGTCGATTAATCTATACATTGTAGATTGCCCTTATATATTAACTATCAGAATAACATATTCATATATACATTTTTTCGACAGTATTTAGAGTTTTATTGTAATGACTCGTTCCTGTGTCGGTACATTCAACTTTTGCCGTTTATTTAACAAGTCACCGAGCCGTACAAACCGGTGGGAATTGCGATGTTTAATTCCTGGGAATAAGGCTATCAAGGTGTTTATTCCCATCTTCAACACCTTCGAAGGGGCTGAATATTAATGAACGATTGTTTTTATTGTTCATTATATTCTGGTTTGTGCTCTATTGTCCTTTCTTGATGATTTTATACAGGCTTAAAACGTCAACATTTATTTACACAATCGTATTTGTGAGGATGAAGAAAACTATCGAAAAAAGACAGGCAGTAATACTAAAAACATAAAAATTGGGAACTAGAACGTGAACATATCTGGATAAATAAATATACGAAGTATAATTAATAAATCTGCTAAGATCTTTGAGTAAAACTGGCCAACTTAGTGTAAATTGTAAAATGAACTAATAACAGAAACAAAAGATAATATAAAATATAAAATTTATAAATAGCTATAAAAAACCAAAATAATTTTGGAAATAATTGGGGTTGTAGAATTCATGAAATCCCATAGTTAAAAACATACACACAAATCTCTCTCTCTCTCTCTCTCTCTCTCTCTCTCTCTCTCTCTCTCTCTCTCTCTCTCACACACACACACACACTTTCTCTCTTTCTACTAAAATAGGACTTCTTTGCTTTTACCTCAATCACTGCATGTATGCCTTTCTTTCTCTTTCGGTTCTCTTTCTCCCTCTCTCTCTCTACAAATTGCTTTTCCTCTGTTCCTGAGACTCATCCTCTTTCAACTGCTCTCCTGCTGCACTAAATTATTCTCTCAGCTCTTCTCTCTCTCTCTCTCTCTCTCTCTCTCTCTCTCTCTCTCTCTCTCTCTCTCTTTCTTTCTTTCTTTCTTTTAAAGAACGCCTTCTTTGTTTTTACCTCATTCTAACATGTCCGTTTTTCTCCCTCCCTCTCGACCCCTCTCAATTTCTCTTTCTCTCTCTNCACACACACACACACACACACACACACACACACACACACACACACACACACACACACACACCTTTCACTTTCTCTCTCTCATCCTAACTATTTTCTGTTCTCTTGTCTTGCTTATTTTTTTTATTTTTTTCTCTTTTTTACTTTTCCTGCTTTATATCCCTTTTCTCTCTCACGCACTCTCTCTTTCTCTCTTCCTCTCACTCTCTCTCTCTCTCTCTCTCCCACCGAAACAACTTTATTTCCTTCCCTCATCTTAACTCGTTCCTATTATCTTTTCTTGCCCATCTTCTTATTGTTTCTGTTTTTTATTTATCACGCTAACTTTCTCTCTCATTATCTTATTCTGTCTTGAACGCGCGACCACACACACACACACACACCTCTTTAACTTTCTTTCTCTAATCCTATCTACCTTCGCTTCTCATTCTCATACATTAATTGTCGTGATTTGTAAACTAGGAATGTTTCCCATGTAAGAAATATTTAATTTATAGTGTATTTTATTGTAAGGAAGTTTTTTCTAAAAATTAATCTCAACTCTGTCTCATTAGTCTAGTTTGTAAACTTACGATGCCTTGAATATTCTTATCAAAACTAACAAAATAGTAGTCGATGAACAATAAAAAATTGAATTTCTATAAATTTTCTCGGACAGTAAATCGTCTTTTTTAATTTAGACCATTTTTCAACCAGTTACTATTGCCAGTAGTGACATTAGTTACTTAGAAATTGGCAACTTACTGCTATTAAATGCTAAAATATAGGATAAATAGACGTTTTTTTAAGTTCGAATTTATTTAGCTGTATCCTGCTTTCGCTTTGTAGGTTAACGAGTAATTATCTTTATGGGATATATTTGATCACTTCCAAATTGGATTTTTGTTATTTCAGGAACCCCAGTAGTTGGTTAGTTCACGGGGTCCTTCTTAGAAAAATTCTCCTTTTTTATTTATTAGATTGATGAGCAATCTTATTTTGTTACAATTCAAGATGATTCTTAAATGCTGGTAGTCTGAAAGACCAGGATGATCGGAAAGGACCAAACGACTGATTCATCAGTTTGTAGACAAAAAGGAAAACCTTGAAGTTAAATACACTTTCACTAGTAAAAGCTCTCTACAAACGGTCTAAAGTGGAAAACTTGTCCCCAGGACGATCAGCGATGGAAGGACACGTGTTCTTTGTGACATGGTATAGCAAAGTTCAATGTTTCACCGGAGAAGGTTTAAAGATAAAAAAAGTGTTTTTACGACGTCGAAAGACCTGTTATTACGGATTAAAGCCCTCCATTAATTCCCCGGACATTTCGACCTTCGCGGGAAGTCGCTGACCTAGGCCAAAATTGTTCACTGACACGGTTTTGGATCCTCGGAGTCATTGAAGGACCCTGAAACGACTGGACCTCCGGAGGTTCGGCGTACGCCGACTCCCACCCTTTCGCTGGAGGGGCTGTCCTGACTCCTGGAAGGGGCGCGAAACCCCGAGTATGACGCTGCTGTGCGACTGCCATGGGCCACGAGTACGCTCTTCTCCAGGTCATCCCTTGGCTCGTCTACAACGCGGCGAATCTGACTTTCGACGTCGCAAGCCACGTACGACTTCTTTCACGTAAGAGATTTGTAACTGGATTTACTAAGAAATTTCAGACATGGAGATGCCGATGCAGAATTCGCGAGGAAATCCAGATTAATTAATTCCTAATCAAACCAACAACTTAGGAACTCTCAACTTCACGAAAGAGGGACTTATCATACCTAATCTACAGGAGAAATAGGTTTTATTATTTTCGGTCCAGCATTTAAGAAATCTACTTTTATTCAGTTTAGAAAAACTTAGTTTAAACCAGAGAAAATGACCATCAATACAGAGCCGAACTTAACTCGTTGGGACACGACATTCAAGTTATTATTTTTATTATTCAGTTTATTTCTATGATTAAGGTGGTTATTTCTTTTAATTAGAGGTAAAAATGAGTTTTAATCGGTAAATCCGAGCTTTCTGGAATCAAGATTTATAATTAATTACTACACTGAATTTACTAAGTTCCAAGTATTAAATTATTTGAAAATAATAATAAAATTTTGTCTATATTGATTAGCTTCTCAGTGCTCACAGTTCAGACTTTTCACTTTCAAATATAAATATGAAAATAATTTTTTTGTTATAATAATTATTGTGAATTTAAACTCGGTTTAGCAGCCGAGGATGTAAGAAACTTGGCGTTTAGTAAAAGGAGTGTTCGTGATGATGATGATGATAAAAGGAAGCTAGAGTTTTGTATTCTCCAAGCAGTGTAGCCTTGTTTACCATATTTTTCCTTCTTCCTTAGTTCAGTTAAATTAATTATCTTTCTCGTAAGAAATAGTAGGCCTTTGACTATCTTTACTGTAAAATAATAGTTGTAAAATCAACTTAAGCTGTAAAATAATAGTTGCTCAGTAGTAATTTCATTGCATAATTTACATATTTCTACGCAGACAAGCTGGTGTCTATACAACTTGGCAGCCAATAAACAAAAGCCCTGTCTTAATGTTTGCTCGCCCCGAGGAAAATCAAGTGCTCTGGGATGAATATGACGTCTGGAGAGTAAAAGTAATTTATTAGCGTGAAAGGAAGGATTTGCTTATAACCCCGCCCCGATGAATATCGAGTACTCTGGGCGAGTGAATGTGACCAGTCATCTATGTTTCTATCCAGTGTTGTGTTTGTGTTAATTTATTGTAATGAATGTAATTTATTAGGGTGAAAGGAAGGGGTTGCTTATAACCCCACCCCGAGGAATATCACGTACTCTGGGGTGAGTGTATGACGTCTAGAGTAAAAGTAATTTATTAGCGTGAAAGGACGGGGTTGCTTATAACGTAATTCGTAAATTTTACGGTTGAAGAATTTTGAAGTTGAATTTTACAGAAGACCTTCATCCTTAATCCTTAAGGCCTCAAGCTTTCAGTACAAGAAACTCCACATCAGATTGTAATAAGAATCTTAGCACAACTGCATACAAGGAACCCAGGCTTAAAGAAAGTAAAAAAGATCAATTTATCTCATGAGCTCATTGAGCAGACGAAGCGCCAAGAAACATCCGTTTTGTTCTTTATTTGGGAAAAAAAGGAGCCTTTTCTTGAAAGGTCAGGACACATACCAAAACTAATTTTACACCCAAAAACACTGAACATTTGTGCTGTATGGTTGGAGTTATACACTATTCCTTTTCGCCAGACGAGACCATCGAATCTACAAACTACCTCATTGAAATTGACGAAAAACAGCAAAACCGACCTAAATTCAACAAAACGCCAGATCTCATGTTTCAAAGTTGACTATGATTTTCCTGATTTTCCAAACTTGTCTCCAAGACATTTTAATTTGTTTACGAATTGGGACAAATTCATTAGAGCAACAATTTTAAAAAATGGTTCACTGGCTTAAAAAAGCATATTCTGACTTTGTTCTTCTTATAGCTCTCAATTTTTCAGTACTGGAATCAAAAAATCGATTAACTGTTGGAAAATTGTGTAGAAAGAAATGGTAAACACTTAATTTAAGGACATTTTTATTAATCAACCTTTCGTCAGATTTCCTACTGTTGCCTTACGATTTTCGGCATTTTGCCATCCTCAGTGTATCTCAAATGGTCGATAATAATCAGTTTTATCAATTTTGCACCCAAAAATACTGGCGAACAGTAGTGATCAACAGGGAACAATTTTTAAAAATGATTGACAGGTCTAAAAAAGCATTTTTTGACTTCGTTTCTTCTTAAAGCTTTCAATTTTTCAGTACTGGAATCCAAAAAACTGATTAGTCGTTGGGAAAATTGTGTAGAAAGAAAAGCTAAATAACTTAATTTAAGGACATTTTGTTTAATCAACCTTTCGTCAGATTTCCTACTGTTGCCTTAAGATTTTCGGCATTTTGCCATCCTCAGTGAATCTCAAATGGTCGATAATAATCAGTTTTATTAATCTTGCACCCAGAAACACTGGCGAACAGTAGTGACTAAACAAAGAACACTTTTTAAAAATGATTGTCAGGTCTAAAAAAGCATTTTTTGGCTTCGTTTCTTCTTAAAGCTCTCAATTTATCTGCACTGGAATCAAAAAAAAATATTAAGCGTTGGGAAAATTGTGTAGAAAAAAGTTAAATACCTTAATTTAAGGACATTTTAATTAATCAACCTTTCGTCATATTTCCTACTGTTGTCTTAAGATTTTCGTGATTTTGCCATCCTCAGTGATTCTTAAATGTCGGTAATAATCAGTTTTATCAATCTTACACCCAGAAACACTGGCGAACAGTAGTGACCAAACAAAGAACACTTTTTAAAAATGATTGTCAGGTCTAAAAAAGCATTTTTTGGCTTCGTTTCTTCTTAAAGCTCTCAATTTTTCAGTACTGGAATCAAAAAATTGATTAAGCGTTGGGAAAATTGTGTAGAAAGAAAAGGTAAACACTTAATTTACGGACTTTTTTATTAATCAACCTTTTCCCAGATTTCTACTGTTGTCTTAAGATTTTTGGCATTTTGCCATCATTAGTGTATCTGAAATGGTCGATAATAATTAGTTTTATCAATTTTACACCAAAAAAACACTGGCGAACAGTAGTGATCAACAGGGAACAATTTTTAAAAATGATTGACAGGTCTAAAAAAGCATTTTTTGACATTGTTTCTTCTTAAAGCTCTAAATTTTTCTGCACTGGAATTAAAACATTAATAAATGTTGGTAACATTGTGTGTAAAACGAAGCTAAATACTTTGAATTTAAGGATTTTGATTTTATTACTTTATTATAATTTTTTATTAATCAACCTTTCGTCAGATTTCCTACTGTTGTCTTAAGATTTTCGGCATTTTTGCCATCCTCAGTGATTCTTAAATGTCGGTAATAATCAGCCTTTTCCCAGCGTGCATTTTATATACTTTTAGTTTTCTTATGGTTAAACAATCGTTAAAATAATGGAGGTTTTACGAAATCATTGTCTCATTGACTGAGGGTTTCTTTAGAAGAATATTTCTTCTTATTTTCACGTCACTTTTTGAATGTACTATAATTTTATGATTTATGTTAAATGTTGCTTAAAGGAAACTTTCTCAATTATCTTGTTCAGCATAAAAATGTTAAAGTGCGTTAAAGAGCTTTTGATGTATTAAAATTTTTTTTAGCATGCTGCAAGAGTTTTTTAATTGTCACTTATATCAAGTAGGTGTATAGATCTTCTAAATGGTTAATAATAATAGTAATCATAATAACATAGTAGAAACGTTCTACCTAAATGAAAGGTTCATAAACAAGAGGTATTACATACATAAGAAAAATATCAGTAACATCCATTGGTCAATTTATTTTTTATTTACCCATATAAATTGCAAATATAAAATTAAAATAAAGTTGAACTGTTGTCTGTCATTTATAGTTTGATTCATAGATCTAGGTCAGCGAGACAAGATACTTGTACTTTTCAAGGAAAATATGGTTCGTGTTTGTGGTTTAGAAACTTTTTAGTCCAAGGAAGTATCGATCAGTGTTTTTCGATTTTACTTTCATCTTCTATTCTTATGTAATTAAAATTTTAAAGGCAGTACGAGTACGCTTAGAGAAGTTCAGAATATTCTAGTTGTCTATTCTAATGAGATGGGAAAATCGTTCAGATGTATTCAAAAAATTGTTTTACGGTATAAAAATCCAAATTGGCTTACGTTATTTATTTTGGAGTAATTTAGGCACAGTTGCAAGTAATTGGCTCACACCTATTTTCTACAAAATCAGTTTTTCTCCTGTGTCCGTGCCGTGAATCGTACAAAGAGGCACGTGCGTGGAAAACCGTTCACCGCCTCTTAGTTACGCTATGATTTTTTTCGCAATTCGAAAACATCGTCAAATAGCCGCGGGAAGCCGAGTCGCCGGCGGACGACGGGTTAATTAGACGATTAATGAGTATAATAAACTAAGGTGTACACGGCGGAAGAGCTCAACGAGGGCATCTGACCCTTAACTGAATCTAGTACCAGGCGGCTTTTAGAATAGTTTAACTTTTAAAAAACACGTGTATGAGTGGCACCAAATCATTGATCAAAAAACCAAAATCTTGAAAACTTAAACCTACTCTCTATTTATGACTTATCTTTCAATTCTATTTAACTGACTACTGCTTCAGAATGAGGTTGCACTGATATCAACCGATAAAGTCTGGAATTCCTCAAGGGAGCATTCTTGGTTCCACCATGTTTACCATTTTTACTACTGCCTTTTTTGCACACCGCATTACATCATTACCACTCATGCTGATGATATCGCAAGTTTACTTCTAATCTGAATCCTATATAACCTTGTACGTTTTACAACACCTTGAGCTTGACTGGTGGAAAAAATGGAGCATATTACCGAATTAGGAAAATGTACACTGTACATCGACAATAAAGAGATGCTGACTCCACTCAAGTCAGATACTTGTGACTGTACCCAGACAGTGGACGTATACAAGAAACTTCCAACATCCAATGCCACCTTTTGACTGGTGGAAAAAGTGGAGGAAGAGACTGAATGAGGAAAATGTGCATTTACACTGACTTCCAAAGTCAGATACTTAAGACTGTAGCTACACAATACAACTGTGGACAGCAATGGAACTGGAATCCCATCCAATCTCCAATGCATCCAATTCTTCCCATTAAAAGTTTGAAATTGAACGCTGAGTAAAAAAGGTCCTATAAACCTGGGCCTGGAAAGCCTTCAGAAAAAAAATCTTATTTGTAAAAATAGTAAGAACCGCTACTACTACCGCCTTGCTACCTTCTTGAGTTCCAGATCCATCTGTGTACCAGAAGATGGTGCCATTCTTAAAGGAAATGTTTTTCTCTTTTTCCCATTCCTTTTCCGAACTTAGTTTTATTTGGAAATTTCGGAAGTTAAGGGTATAGTCATCTCCTTTTACCCGGGATGAACTTACGAACTTACCATCTGTTCGATCTTTCATCAGTTTGCCACATTATTATCACCGTCACACATATTACAACTGAACGTACACTAACCGACTCGATTGAGTGTCGATGGGGTACTCAATATTCCACCAATCCTTTTCACATTCACGCTTATAAATACATTCCCACGAAATGTTTCACATAAAATATAACAATCAATGTTTTTATATAAATTATAATGAAATTAACTACAATATATATTGTATGAATTTGTTTTTAGGTTTATCGGGTAGCGGCGGGATCATGGACAGTCTGACGTTAGGAAACACCTCGACTCAGGTTTCACGCGGAGACTGCATTTGGAGGAGAGGAAACGATCGCGACCCATGCCCCGACCCGGACGTTAACTACTATCTCTACACACCTGAGTAAGTTCTGTATCTTTGTTAAATTGCATTCAAGATAGAAAAGAGACAAAAGAATTTCGGCCAACTTTTTTATCGGCCCCGTCGCGAGGAAAAGTCGACAAACCGAGGACGGAGATAAGAAGAGCAAACTTACACAACGCGATGAGTGTCACGCTCTTCTTTATTTGCAGATGCGATTAGAGGCTTGTTCATTCCAACGGTTATTCTCTCCTCGGTTTTGAGCAAATTGATGATTAAATCGCAACCGGTTACGCAAGGGTGCAGCAACGGTCAAAAATAGTCTCTGGTCCACATTTGGTGATAGGTGGAAAGTAAATTCGGATGATTCGCGCTTATCTATATGTCAACATCCAGGCACTGACCTACTCATAAAGTTGATTCCCAATTTTTTTTTATACCGATCCTCTAAAAAGTAGTATCATTGTTGTTTCTTTAGGCTCATCCTTCATAAACATGGTATTCAACTCTCGAGTTTAAGTTAAGCATTCAAACCATTATGAATTAGTTTGTTGTTATATTTCCTCTTATGGTCATTGATTTGCTATCTTGATTTCCAATTTTATTTATGGCGGTCCACTAAAAAATCTTGTCGTTTTATTGTCGTTATTTCTTGTAACGTGAATTTTGCTAGGTTAAACATCATTGTTTACTCTTTATAAAAATTTAAATTTAATTTAACTTAGTTGTGAGATTTTCTCTTGGGGGTCTGCTGGATGATGGAACTTATATTTGGTTGTTTACCAAAATTTTGCTTAATAAATCAACCATTGAAGATTGCGCGAAGCCGAAACGCGTCTGGCCTGTGATTGTTCGGTTAATTGCAATATTTTCTCTCGGGAAAACAGTAGTTTGATTTTCCGATCATTTATTCGGTCTAGCTGTACGGTTTTGGTGTGTCCTTCTCGAAAATTCTTGGTTAAATCAACCACTGGAGACTGAAGATGGCAAAAAGCCGAAAAGCGTCTGACAAAGCCTGTAGTTGCCTTTTTAATTGTGAGATTTTCTCTTGGGGTCTGCTGGCTGATAAACCTGATTTTTGGTCGTTTCCCATCTTTTTGGTTCACTTCCCCAAACTGTTATGGTGTTTCGCTTTTTGCGAGACTTCTTGGATAATCCAACCACTGAAGATAACGACGAAATGCGTCTGACAGAACCGGTAGTTTGGCTAGTTGCAAATTTTCTCGTGGGAAAACAGTAGTTTTCCGATCATTTTATTCGGCCTGTCTTTACGGCTTTGGTGTGTCCTCGAAAATTCTTGCTTAAACCAACCACTGGAGACTGAAGATGGCAAAAACCGAAAAGCGTCTGACAAAGCCTTTACTTGACTTTTTAATTGTGAGATTTTCTCTTGAGGAACCGTGTAATTATGTTTTCTGGTCATTTTATTCGACTGCTTTGTTTCTGAATCGTACCGAGTATCCCTGGATGGATTGAAAACAACCACTGAATTTGACAAAAAGCCGAAATCCTTCTGACAAAACATGCAGTTAATTGGTTACTTGTGAGATTTTCTCATGGGGTCTGCACGTTGATAAACGTTGGTCGTAATGTAACCTACTTCTGGACAGGCTACCAACACAGAACACCCAAATCTTCTAAAAAGACTGAAATTAAAATTACGCCACCTACTTCATTACAGCCTACTTGACCTGCGATCTTGACTATCAGGAATTAAAAAGATTTACGTACTAGAAATTTTGTGGTTCAACTAAAGCTACAGTATCTGTAGAATCCAGACACAACAATCCAAAATCCTCCGAAAAACAGTGAATCTTTACCTCTCCGACCTCAATAACCTTCGTTCATTACCTATCGAGAACAAGATACCATGTATCCATTAGATACCATATAGGTACTTCCTCTTTCATTCTTGTTCACTTCCAATAGATATTTTTTTATGATAGTTGATTTATTGCTCTTGATATAAACATGCTTCCTAGAAGACTAACCAAAATGATCATGAAGGACCAAGCTTAATTTATTTTCGAAGTAATTAAACTTCACGTTGCTGTAATTTATTACTAACCTATTATTTTTAGTATCATAAATCATTTTTATTGTAGGGCCCTTTTCAGCATTGGATCGGATAAAAAACCGTAAAGACTTTTTCGTTTTAAACACACGCTCTTTTTTTCTTCCTAGATAAGTACTTACACATATTATAACCTGCCTAGAAGTGATCAACGGATTTAAGAACAGTCTGACGTCACCCTGGCGCAACATTCAAATTTATGCTCCTACACTGTATTTCATGTTTACTTCAAACTTACGTGTCCGCGAGTACGACAAAAATCGCTTCAGTAAGGTCTCAATCGTACCTACCTCGTTGGCAGTCTGGTCA